AAATAAACTAATTCGATATTTCGAATTGGAATTAAACGGCCATATACATTAGAATTTTTTACCGGGTTAACCTACTTTATGAGGATTTATTTGACATATATGCAAAGGAATTGACAATTGAAACCCACTGTTACAGTACGTTTACATTTAACCGGATTTCGTTAACCCAGTGGGTTTCAATTGTCATTTCCTTTGCATATAAGTCAAATAAATCCTCATAAAGTAGGTTAACCCGGTAAAAAGTTCTAATGTACAAGGAGTTTTAACCCAGTCCGGTTAAATGTAAACGTGTTATACTGAGTTCGAAATTTTCAAGTTCTGTCATGATTTCAATAAACCGATATAGAATTTACAGCCTGTTTTTGTAAAATTCCAAACGAAAGAATTCGAGTGACTTACGACCAAATGTCATTTATTTTTGTTTTGATTCAGAAGACATTTATAAACATAAATAAATGTAAACTGGAATTTTACAAAAACAGGCTATTTATTTGCACAGCTTAACAATATGAACTATCTATTTATTTTTATTGGTTACAGATTGTTCGTCCAACAACCATGAATATTTTCGTGACAGACATGAACGGTCGCAACCAGGGCCGCGTACGTCTTATCCTGTTTTCCCCATTATCAGTTTTATTTCAAAGAAATGGCAACCCTGTTCATTGTAATAGAAAAGAAAACCGCGAAAGAAATCCAATGTATGTACGGTTTTTTAGGTTATGTATTTGTTTATAATACAACAAAACATTCAATGCCTCTCAAACAGATGATTTTTGTATATAACAAAAGAGAGAGAGAGTGAGAGCAAAATTTTGTAGATAACTTCATAGAGGCAGAACTCTCATAAGAGAAAAATAATATTGAAAATATGGCAAAAAAAGTAAATACATAAACAAAAGCGATAGCAAAAGGAAGACCTAACAAAAATATAAAGAAACAAGAACAACAACAACAGAACACTACACACACTCGCATATGAATTGGAGGAGGTGTAATTGAAGTATATAAACACAAACGTTTTTTTTTTTAAATGACAGCATACAAATGTGACAAAATGAAAGAAAACATTTTTTTGGTGTTTCAACATCATTCTTTTTCTTCTTCTACTTGTTTTGTAATTGCCACCCATCCTCTTTCTGGTGGAGAACACCTTTTTGAGAGCTTTATTTCGTTGACTTTGTAAACGAACACAAACTACAGCAATTACAAATGTAACAGCCAGGCACTCAGCACACACTCACGCACATACTGACACGTAAAAAAAACAATCAAAACTGCATATACATAAACAAGATGAAGTTTGCACCAGCAAGAGAATTGTTCGTTTTCTTTGAAAATGTAAATGACACCCCAACACACACACTCACACGTACACAAGAACTTTCTAAAAATCAAGTCGAGCAACATAAAGAAATAATAAAACTTAAAAAATTGGTTACTAACCTTTTATGTTGTTGTTATTGTTGTGATCAATGATTTGTTGTTGTTTTCTGTTTTTCTTAAGAAATATAAATCACAGTGCACAAACTATTTAGATTTTTGCAAACTATTTTTTTCTCATTTGATTTTTTTCTTCTTCACAAAATTTTTTTCATACGTTAACGATTAGATTTTCTTAAATTTGCCAATTATTCACCAAATAAAAAGAATAAAGTATTTTTTTTTTTGCTTTCTTTGTTATATTTTTCATACACTTGATGGGAGTTCTTCAACGGTCGGACTTTTCTTTCATTCTACTCCACTAACACTGACCACACTATAAGAAGCGCGCTTTACAACTACCTTTGTTCAGTTTGTTCAGACACGAATGCTTATGTGTTGTAAGTGAAGCCGTTTGAAATGCTAGCAACCTAATTCAAAAACGTTAAATATGATATGCGAATAAAGGGCGATGACAGAGAATGATTGATAAAAACGAAAATCGTAACAAATAGAAAGGGAAGAAGCACCCATTCATGTTTACGAATGAGTGTGAAGCATAATGTCGTGCCTTTTTTGCATAGATGGGGGAGGCAGTCAGCTGTTTGATTTAAACGTAAATGTAGGGATTTAGAAATCGTTTTTTGGATTAGTAGCAAACAAGGTAGATTTAATGGCGTGTACACACTATCAGTTTGGACTGTCAGGTTTTATTTCGATTACTGATGGTTCAACAATAGCTGGGTCTATTTATTCGATATTTGGCAAGAATTGTTATCAAATGTTACTGGATGTTGTCAGCTTACTCAAAAGACCAGTAAAAAAGAAAAAGTTAGTTTGACAGTTCTATGATCAGAACTTACAGAATGGGTACTGGGTAATTTTTTTTCCAGTAATAGTACGTTTACATACCGGATTTCGTGAAACCAGTGGGTTTAAATTGTCTATTCCATTGTATACATGCCAAATAAATTCTCATAAAGAAGGTTAACCCGGTAAAAAGCTCTAATGTAAATGCCGTTTAAGGTTTGTCCAGGGGATGATAGATACCAAGCAACGGCTATGATTGGCTTTAACATGGCAAAGCACAGACCCATAAAACTATAAAAAAATGGGCTGAGACGCTGGGTTAGTTGACCACACTCGGAAATCCCCTCCTTCTATGAAAAATCAATGAAAAAAAAACTAAACCAAGAAAAACGTGAGGGAGATGTACAGGATTTAGAATGAAGTCCGGAAACGAGTAAAACACCTAACCGAAGGCTTTGGTGCAGGCTCATCCTCTAGTGGAGATGAAGATGGAAAACAGGTGACGGGTACAGATTGCGTGTTGAGGATCTGGAAGGAGCATTTTGCACAGTTTTTGTTATCAAATAGTGGCGGTGAAGAAGATATCCGAGAAACAATAAGAGATGACGGCTAGACGACCACCTAGCCAAGATGAGGTCAGAGTAGCAATTAATCGGCTCAAGTGGCACAAGGTCAGCAGGGAAACGACCAATCAGAGCCTTTCAATACCGAACGATGATTCAGACAAGGTGACAATTTAACATCCTGCTGGGAAAGGTCATACGAGGTGCAAATGTGAAAGGATATGAAGCTAACAAGAAATATTAGGAAGAATGTGGGACTAGTTTGATGGCTATAGAAATTGGACAGAAAACATATTACGTGCTAAGTTTGCACTTCCCCAACCACTTTAGATTTCTAATGATGCTTAAATTTAGAGACGGTGAAAAGTCAGCATCCACTAGTCTGTGCCGTCTGTGGGCCACACTTGAACAGCGACACAGGAGATGCTCAATTGTCTCCGTCTACTTGTCTTCATGACAGAGTCTGCAGTAATCAGTGATAGCATGATCCCCTTTAATCAGTAACAAAGGCCCATATATTGCAATGACCAGCTTTGCTCAGGTTCAACAGTGAGTTTGTGTTCTTGACATACTGCACGTAGGTTCGTTGTGCAAGAGTTCATTGGCTCGTTCGTCGGAGAACGCCTCAAAGTTATGCAAAAAAGAACAGATGGGCCGTTTGATTGAGCAATCGAATGCTAGGTCTGTAGATTGAGATCCTTGTATACCGAATTCGTCTGCTTTTTCATTACCCGTGATGTTACGGTGTCCTGGTACCCAATACAGCCGATACCTTTAGGTGAGGATTTGATGTTTACAAATAAGGCCACCTCCCGCTAGACCAAACTCACACTCTACAAGACGCTAATACTATCGGTGTTGTTATATGGATCTGAAGCATATGTACTTGCGCAAGCAGATGAGGTAGCTCTTGTAGAGTTTGAGAGAAAAATTCTCCAAAAAAGATCTATGGGCCGATCTGGGTTGACGGGGAATATCGCCGTTGAATGAACCATGATTTGTATCGAATATCGGCATTGTCAGACGTATTTGCAGCGACTACGGTGAGGGACTTGAATTCGATGGAAATGAAACATGGTCTTTCAAATTGGAAGAGCTGCGGACAAGGCCGACGCATCTGGAAATCTGTTTTAAGCTCGGTTTATGGAACAAATGTTCTGTCACAAGCCAGCAAAATAAGTTAGTTACATTTTACAGGATTTTGTAAATCCAGTTTTTTAAATGTCAGTCTCATTGAGTATATGCCTAAAAATTCCGCATAAACGAGTTTAATCCTGTACAAGTTCACCTACCAGTTATTTAGCAGCTACTTTGTGGTGTATAACAAAAAAGCAAATATTTAATTAGTGGTTTCTTCTGCCAAATATAAAAAATATATATTTACACACACAGACACAAAATATGTATTTACATCTGATAGAATAGGCCACCTTGAGAAAAAAATTGCAATAAGATGGTAGCTATGCGCACCTTGTAATAATTATACAATGTTACCGAACCTCATCCTAGCTGCTACTTTGTTAGATCCATATGATGTAAAGAAAGAAAGCGAAAACTAGATGGAATGGCGGACCTGGATGTAGTGTAGATCAAAAAACTTTGATTTCTATGGGTAGGAAGATAACAATGATGACCGTAGGGATCATCACGGTGTATACACTATCACCAATGAATTCCCGTTTAACCTTTTTTTCCTTGTTTGACTGTTGTGACCGTTCAGGTCCATAGTCCAGTCAGTAAGCGATAAAAAAAACTAACAGTCAAAACAGATTGTGTGTACTCGCCTTTATTATCTACTGTCACCTCAATATACAGCTTCTGGAACGTTTTTAAATTTGTTTGAACGACCATATGTAGTCTGTAAACGATATAAAAAATAACTGTTCGAACTGATAGTGTGTATTTTACTTCAATGGAACGTTTTTAAATTCGGTTGTCATATGAATGAATACCTAACTGTCAGATATCGAATACTCACTATCGCCAGACTCAACTCAACACTGACACACAGACAGTGTCCGTGTGTGTCAACAATACAATTCTTGCTGTCTCCATTCCACCTCATTCGTAAATATTTCGTTATACTACTTTATATTTATCGGTCATTTTGTCTTCTCCCCCATTCGTTAGCAAATGGAACGTTTTCAGACTTTTCTCTTAGTCTGAAACCCTGCAGTCATATGAAAGGTATAAATACGAATAAATATTGAAGATATTGGCGACAAAATGGATGGGATTAAAGGGAAATTTATGGACTTATTGCACAAACAGGTAAGTAATTCCAATAAATGTGAAATTTGGTGAATAATTTGAAATTTCTCCACATATTTTCGTAGGCAAATCGACAAATGATACCAGCTATGGGATTTTCCGACTATTTTATACAAAATGTCACAGAGACCAGTAAAACAGATGCGAATTCCACAAAGAAAAGAAAGTCCACTTTGAAAGATGTGGATGGTGCTGCGGCACTGGCGGATGAATGTGATGCAACGGAGGCCTGCAGTAGTTCCCAGAAATCGGATCAAGAAATATTGGAGAGTATAACAGATATATACTTTCAGCCAGACAGTAATGCAGAAATGTACGAATTGCAGGTGGGTGGTTGGTGGGTGGGGGGAGAAAGTTGTAAACATTTAACGACACTGCATAAAAAAAACAACTGAAACTGGTTTCATTGTTTTACAAAAGTGCAATGTTTTTGTATAAAACAATTATGTATGTGTGTTAGTGTGCGTGCGTGTAATGCATTTTTTGTTTATTTTGTCTTACAGAAAGTCTTAGCCAATGGCGTCGATTATGATCTAATTGAAACCACAATGCTCCAGTTGCGTACCCAACACAAAGTATTATCCAAACAAGTATTACAAAATATTTTGGAACAACGAAGTGCCTGCAACGTCGAATTCACCGCCATCAATGAAATACAAAAAGAGCTGGAAGAATCGTTGTGGACATGTCGCAAGGCTCGTTCGTACTTAAATTATGCCAAACAAAATCTAACCACCACTAGTCTGGAAATATTGGCTTCCTATCGTAAACGTGAGATACTTAAAGAGCTGTTGAATACCCTGCAGGCCATTAAGAAATTGGTAAGATTGAAAATGATGACGAAAAATATAATATTTATGTGTATTTACAAGGTTATAGATTTTATGCAATCGAGTGCAAGTTGATCAGGTTAGAATTAGCAAGAGATGAGCATTCAATTGCAAAAAAAACATGGTATATTTTTGTAAAAAATATTCTAAAATCATAGATAATTTTTATTCCTCGATGTAGTTCTTCGTCTCTCATATCTTGTTGTTTATATTATATTTAAAAAAAATCCTTCTATTTACAGAAATCAACCGATGTGGAAGTTCAAAAACTTCTATCCGATTGTAATTATTCCGGTGCAATATCATTGTTACTTAGTTGTAAAGATTCCGCCGATGAATTTATGCAATATAATTGCGTTCAATCGTTGAATAAGAAACTGCAAGAAACTCTATTATTAACCGAATTTCAATTGGACACAGTTTTGAATGAGGTAGTAAAAAATCAATATAGGAAATTTTATTTATAATATTAAAATCATTTTTTTTATTTTCTTTTCAGATGATATTGAATTTTGATATGCGTAAATATTCTAAACTCCAGGAAGCATATAAGCTATTAAATAAATCGCTAATTGCAATGGATCAGGTATATTTATTGATAATTGGAGAAAAATCTATATTCTCTCAAAAATCTACGCCTTGGATAGGCCTTGAAAAAATATTCTCTAAAAAATCAAAGCCTTGGAAAATCCTTGAAAAAATATTTTCTAAAAAATCTAAGCCTTGAAAAATATTCTTTAAAAAAAACTACTCCATGGATAGGCCTTGAAAAAATATTCCTTAAAAAATCTACGCCTTGGATAGGCCTTGAAAAAATATTCCTTAAAAAATCTACGCCTTGAAAAAATATTCTCTAAAAAATCTACGCCTTGAAAAAATATTCTTTAAAAAATCTACGCCTTGAAAAAATATTCTCTAAAAAATCTACGCCTTGGATAGGCGTTGAAAAAATATTCTCTAAAAAATCTACGCCTTGGATAGGCGTTGAAAAAATATTCTCTAAAAAATCTACGCCTTGAAAAAATATTCTCTAAAAAATCTACGCCTTGAAAAAATATTCTCTAAAAAATCTACGCCTTGAAAAAATATTCTCTAAAAAATCTACGCCTTGAAAAAACATTCTCTGAAAAAATCTACGCCTTGAAAAAATATTCTTTAATAGATCTACGCCTTGAAAAAATATTCTTTAATAGATCTACGCCTTGAAAAAATATTCTTTAATAGATCTACGCCTTGAAAAAATATTCTTTAATAGATCTACGCCTTGAAAAAATATTCTACGCCTTAAAAAAATATTCTCTAAAAAATCTACGCCTTGAAAAAATATTCTCCAAAAAATATATGCCTTGCATAGGTCTTGAAAAAATATTCTCTTAAAAAATCTACGCTTGGGATAGGTCTTGAAAAAAATTATTTAAAAAATCTAAGCCTTGGATAGGCCTTGAAAAAATATTCTCTAAAAAATCTACGCCTTGGATAGGTCTTGAAAAAAACTATTTAAAAAATCTAAGCCTTGGATAGGCCTTGAAAAAATATTCTATAAAATATCTACGACTTGGTTAGGCCTTGAAAAAAATATTTTTTAAAATCTACGCTTTAGATAGGCCTTGAAAATATTCTCCACAAAATCAACCCCTGGATAGGCCTTAAGAAACTCCCTTTATATAGACCACAATTAAATATTTATGTCCTCCAATTTCTCTTTCCAGCTCCACATTAACTTCATATCGGCAATACATTCCTCAGTGAACTCAGTACTTCGCGGCTATAATGATCCGAATATTGATGACAATTTCAAATTACTCTACGAACAGTTGTGCGAACAAGTTGAAGCCGACAAATATATATCATGTTTAATAAGTTTGTGTAAAACCGTGTGGACCATCTTATCATCCTACTATCAAATTGTTATATGGCATCAAAACTATAAATTATATCCATTGGATATGCCCGAATCGCCCGATAATTATATACAGGAAAAATTGAAAAAAGGACAATCACGTATATGGAATGATATTCTGACGAAAATTTGTATATTTTTACAAAGTTCCAAGCTGCGTACCCTTAAATATGATCAATTTATACAAGTGTTAAGTATTATACAGAGACTCAAGAAGGTGGGTCAGGAGTTTTGTGGTGAAAATTCGGAGAAATTAATTGAAACAATGCAGCTACAAAGTGAGGAGTTCTTCCAGCGTTATCATGTTTGTTGTTTGGAAGAGATATGTCTCTTTTTGGATAATGAATCATGGACTGTGGTGGATTCATTTGCCAATATTCTACAATTGCCGGTAATTTTAGAATTTTTGTCATTTTTTATTTGTAAATTAAATTCTTGTTTTACATTTATTTTCCAGGAATTTCGTTCCATACGTCATTCATTGAGACGCCACAAAACCCCACCAGCCCTAATGGTGACCAACAACAACACATTGTCTGTTAACAATTCACCCACTAGCAATAATAATTGTGATGAACTGGTGTCGGTACACTCGCAAGACGGTGGTAGTTCCATTTACGGTTCCTATGGCTATTTTTTACGTTTCAGTGAGAAAAGTTCTCCATTTGATGGTGGCCTAGATGTGGCCATGTTGGAAGAAGATATTCTCTCGGGTATTGTCGACGAGGCCTCATGCTATTTCAGTGAAGAGGACAGCGATGATGAACATAAAAGTCTACAGAGTAAAGACTATTGTGATGATCCCTCAAGCCAACAATTGATTGTAAATAATACCACACTGAATGTTTTTCGTTGTATTGGCCGTTATTTACAAATGTGCAAGCTACTACATTGTATTTCACCGAAAATCGTTTCAAGTATGTTGGAGCTAATTGATTTTTATGCCTATGCTGTACATGAGATTTTTGCTAAAGATTCGGTAAGTTGGTTTTATTTCAAAAAAGGGGGATTTTGTTTGAAATTATTTTTGTCTTCTTATTTCTATTTCTAGCCCGTACAAATGGAGACATTGTATCCTGCGAAATTGGAACAAAAATTGGAATTTGTTAGTCAAAAAGTTGTGCCAAACATTAAGATATGGCCCTTGAATTTTTCTTCCTTGGTAAGAAACGTTTCCTAAAAAAAATCTTTGTATAAAAAGCCTTGCTTTGGAAAAATTTTCTCTAATCTTCTTTAAAAAATCTACGCCTTGGATAGGCCTTGAAAAAATATTCTTTAAAAAATCTACGCCTTGGATAGGCCTTGAAAAAATATTCTTTAAAAAATCTACGACTTGGATAGGCCTTGAAAAAATATTCTTTAAAAAATCTACGACTTGGATAGGCCTTGAAAAAATATTCTTTAAAAAATCTACGACTTGGATAGGCCTTGAAAAAATATTCTTTAAAAAATCTACGACTTGGATAGGCCTTGAAAAAATATTCTTTAAAAAAATCTACGACTTGGATAGGCCTTGAAAAAATGTTCTTTAAAAATTCTACGCCTTGGTTAGGCCTTGAAAAAATATTCTTTAAAAAATCTACGCCTTGGTTAGGCCTTGAAAAAATATTCTTTAAAAAATCTACGCCTTGGTTAGGCCTTGAAAAAATATTCTTTAAAAAATCTACGCCTTGGTTAGGCCTTGAAAAATATTCTTTAAAAAATCTACGACTTGGTATAGGCCTTGAAAAAATATTCTTTAAAAAATCTCCGACTTGGTTGGCTTGGCCTTGAAAAAATATTCTTTAAAAAATCTATGCCTTGGTTAGGCCTGAAAAAATATTCTTTACAAATGTACGCCTTGGTTAGGCCTTAAAAAAATATTCATTAAAAAATCTACGCCTTGGTTAGGCCTTGAAAAAATATTATTTAAAAAATCTACACATTGGTTAGGCCTTGAAAAAATATTCTTTAAAAAATCTAGGCCTTGGTTAGGTTTTAAAAAAATATTCTTAAAGAAATCTACGCCTTGGTTATGCCTTGAAAAAATATTCTATCAAAAACTAAGCCTTTTCCTCTTATTTATTTATTTTCAGATCAACAATGAATTGGCAAATCCGGACACATTGTATGGTCTCTCCCAGCGTATTGTGGCGATGGAAAGTGGCCACTGTATGACCCAGCAATTTCAAATTCTGCAAAGTTATCTTAACCATTTGCTGCCACTGACCGATAGGCCAATGCTAAGTGCATATTTTGATTATATACGTTTCATGAATGATTTGGCCAAGCCTGTCTATACATGTGTTACCTCGCGGGTCTTCGATCTACCAGCTATATTGGCCATGATGGCAAAAGTGAAATGGGATGTCAATCATGTTAGTTTTCAACATAATGGTTATATTGATATTATGAATAGGGTAAGTGGGGGAAGAGAGGAAGGGCTCTTTTTTTGTTGAAAATAATTCTTATTTCTCGATTTTTCTTACAGAATATACAAAATTTTGCAATGCGCCTGGAGGAAATTGCTAAGGATATTACCATACCCAGTGAACAGGTGTGGAATTCGGTGGCCCATGTGGCCACTCATTTATTGGTTGAGGGGTAAGTGAAATTGTATTTTTTTATGTTTTAATTAAGCTAATGTCTCTGTTTTCTTTCAGTTTCTCCAATGTGAAAAAATGTTCGGCCGGTGGTCGTGCCCTTATGCAATTGGATTTCACGAACTTCATGTCCATTCTTGAATTGATTTCAAATCAAAAATTCCCTGAACATCGCCAATATGTTGATTTGTACATAAAGGCCTATTATTTTGCCAATGAACAATTTGAAGAATGGATTTTGGAACAGAAACAGCTGGAACCAGCACAATATTCCACAAAACAGCTAATGAATCTCATACAGTGTGTATGTGTAAGTGATAAGAAAGTGAGACAAAAACTACTTAATCTTTTGGGTAATGGTGGTGCTGGTACAACAAACGGTGGCTCCAACTTAAATATAAGTTTATCAAGTCTTACAATTTCTACGGCAAATGCCGCCACCGCCGCCGCTTCCACAACATCATCGCCATCAGCATCATAATAAATTTTGAAGTGTACCCCACCACCCCGCCTCTTTTCCTAACACTTGGCTAACAATTGCACAAACGATTTTTCTTCTGTGCTAAAGAAGAAAAGCCAATAGCCAATATTTTGCTAATCGAACAAAACAAAAACATTTAAAAAGAAAACACACCCTCACAAACACAGTCTATTAAAAAAGTTATGTGTGTTTTGTGTAAAAAATGACATATTTTTTTTTTAGTTTAAATTATTCCTGATTTTTTTTAATTATTTTTTAAGAATCGAACAACATTCCACAATTTTTTAGAATTTTTTTAATATCGAATATTAATTTTATTTAATTAATTTGTTTTTATTATTTATTTGATATATTTTTTATATATTTTATTTCAAACTTTTACTATTGTAATTTTTTTCTTTAAACTTTTATTATTTATTATTATACCTACTATATCTTTTACTTTCGAATCTCTCCCTTTGAATCTCTATTGTTTTACAAAAACCCCTAAAAATCTCCCTATTGTCTCTCTATTATCTTCAGGTTTTTACTTAATTGTGTGATCTATTTATATATATATATATATATATATATATATATAAACAAATGTTGTATTTTATTTTTTTTTTAAAAATTATTTTTTTTTCTTATTTGGAAATCTTTGTTTCGTTTTGAGTTTTCCTTTTGTAAGCTTTGGATTATGTCTATAAAATTCCATAAAACATAAACTAAAGATTTCCATAAACGTACCTTATTTATACATATTACTAATTGTTTTTTTATATTATTCTTTATATATATTATTTTTTAATATTTAATTAAGAAATTAAGCAAACGGACAAATAATATTTAGCAAACTTATAAGTAATAATTGAAACATATTGCAAAAATATTATTACTCAAAAAAAAAAAAATAAAATAAATAAATAAATAAAACATAACAACAAACTAAAAAATATTCATAAACATAGGAGAGTTTTTGAAGGATCAATTATAGAAGAGTTTAACTTTGAAAGGTATTTTAGTTAACGACAATATCTCTATCACTGAAAGTTATCATTAAAAAACACTTCTATTTTTTCCATAAAAAACTTCTAAAATCTCTTCTATATATAGTTTATATACATTGACCTAATGTAATATGTATAAAAAAAAAACAAATAAAGGATATATATTTTATTAATGAACATTTATTCGAATGTGACAGAACATTTATTCGATAAGCCGAGCTTAAAAAAGATTTTCAGACGCGTCGGTCTTGTGCTCGTCGCATCCAAATTGAAAGACCCTATTCCGAGATATTGTCTTCGACTTGATCTTTCCATCGGATTCGTGGCCTTCCCCTTCTGTGTGAACCATCAGATCTGCCTCATCTAATTGCGCAAATACCTATGCATCAGTTCCATACACCAGCACTGGTAATATCAGTGTCTTGTAGAGTGTGAGTTTGGTCTGACGAGAGGTGTCTTGCTTTTGAATTTCTTATTCAGACCATAGTAGCATTTGCTGGCCAACCCTACTATTCTCCGAATTTCAAAACTGTTGTCATTAGTTTTATTATGGCGACTTTGACTACCTCAAAGCTGAAGTTTTCAAGTGCAATAGTTGATCCGAGTCTAATGGACGTCTTGCACGTTGATACAATCAGCTTGGTCTTATCGGCCATTTACTGCCAGATCCACTTCGGTAGACTTTTTTTCAATTTGTTCAAAGGTGGCTGTTAGTCGAATCACATGTGTTTGGTGTACATAGTGCCATTTCTGTTAATTTCCGACCTTTTCATCTGGATGTTAAAAAGGTCACACGACAAACTGTCACCTTGTTTGAATTCTCGTTCGGTATTAAAGAGCTCCGAGAGGTCTTTCCGACTTTAACTGCTGATCTTGTGCCAGTTAAAGTTATCCTGCATAGCCGAATTAATTTTGCAGGAATGCCAAAAACGCCTCTGAACGGATAGGGCTGTCGAATGCGATTTTATAGTCGAGGAATAGGTGGAATGTGTCGATGTGTTTTTCGTGGTTTCTTTTGCCAGGATTTGGCGCAGAGTGAAAATCTGGTCAATGGTGGATTTGCCAGGTCTGAAGCCGCATTGATATGGTTCAATAATGTCATTGACCATTGCTATCCATACCTTATATGCGATGGGAAGGAGACTTATTCCTCTATAGTTCGCACATATCGTCTTCTATACTTTTTTTGTGCACGGGACACAGAATGCTGAGGATTCCAATCATCGGACATGCTGTCCTCTAGCCAAATTGTACTAATCAGTTGGTGCATGCTCCTGACCAGCATCTGACCACCGGTATTGAATAGTTCGGCTGGTAATCCATCAGCACCTGCTGCTTTATTGTTCTTCAGTCGATTAATTGCTCTGACCTCATTTTGGTTCTGGGGTATCTTCCTCACCGCCACCATTAGATACCAGAAGCATTGCAAAATGCTCCATTCAGATCCTCAACACGCTGTCTGTATCTGTCACTAGGTTTTTATCTTCATCTCTATACGCTGCGATTTTCACATCGGTAGCATTGCGACACTCCTGATCGTACCATGGGTTTCTTGATGGTGATTTTTGGTACGCAAGTTGCTGTAGTTTGTAGGGAGCGAGCAATTCTCTGTCATTGTGGTTCTATATTATTATTATCGGGACAAGGAGTGCTTTCGTCAAGCAGGTGGGTAACTTGAACGCAGTATGCTTCCGCTATCTGTTGTGATTGCAGCTTTTCGACGTGATTGCAGCTTTTCGACGTCGAGTCTACGTGTTGTGTTAAATATCACCTTTGCTGCTACATCTTTAAAACGGAGTATAGCAAGCTATAATACGGGGCGTAATCATCTGATTTACTTACGCTTGGGTGCGGGCTTGGTTTCTTTTTTCATAGTAGGAAGGGGTTTCCAAGTGTGGGCAACTAACCCGACGCTTTAACCCTATTTTTGTAGTTCTTATGAGTGAACTCGCGGCACATATCAGCTGACTATTTCAATGGATGATGAAAATAGCTAACCCAGATGACACAGCGGTAGGTCAGTGTCCACAATTGAGATGAAGAGGGACCAAGATAAGCCTGGGCTTTGTCATGTTAAAGCGAATCAGAGTAAACTACAGCTGAACGATTTTATATACCTCGGTACTACCATAAATAAAACTAATCACATCAGCCTTGAAACCTGGAGAATAATAGTGCTGGCAAACAGATGGTACTATGGTCTGAGTAAGCAATTTAGAAAACAATTTATATGGATCTGATGCATGGGTACTTGCGCATGAAGATGAGGCAGCTCTTGGAGTGCTTGAGAAATTTTGCGAAAGATCTGTGGACCGATCTGCGTCTATTCTCGGACATTGCCAAAGTCAGACATATCGAGCTGCAGCGATTAATTTGGATAGGTCATGTTATGAGAATGGATGAGGATGCCCCAGCTCAAAAGGCATTTAAAAGCGAGCAATCCAATGGACAGATCAAGTGGAAGACAACATCTCGGAACATCTTAACATCTTAAGCTCGTCTTATGGAATAAATGTTCTGCCTCAGGCCAGCTAATTAAGTAATATGGCGCCCAACGTATGTTCACGATTATCTGAAACATATTAAATTGCCTTAGCACATAATTCTAAGACTGCTGATTTATTTCCTAATACTTTAGAGAGACTAGTAAAATTATTTAATTATTTTCGTCGTTCTAATCCTATCGATATCCCAGTCAAAAACTGTTAATGTTGCTGACCAGGTTATCTGCAGCGAACTCCTTGGGGAAATATTTTCACGTTTAGTTTGACAATATATTGAAGTTTATTATATAAATGACAAAAGTTGCGCCCAACGTTGCTATACGCCATTGGTACACCGGGCTTGCTTTGTTAGTCACTCTTCCCTAAATGAATTAGATCAGATGATGAAGATGATCAATCGATACCTTAATCAAATACGACATTTCAATGATTGTTTAAATAGGTGATAATATGGCGCCCAATGACATTTTGTCCGGTATACATGAGACAGAGGCAAAACTTGAGAATAGAAAAACTAAAAATGTGGCAAATTTGAAAACAAAAACAAATATACACTAGGAAAGCTGTGTACGTCACTCTGCAGTGTACGTTAACTCCCCACTAGGGAGTTAATGGCGCCCAATGTGGGTCCATAGCCTCCTGTAAAAAGAAATCAAACATTTACCAATCTAATTCAGTCCGATCATCATTCGTATATGAAATAATATAAAATGAAACCAGACTAAACCTTGTCAATTATGATGAAAAAATCAATACTTTTGTGTTGCAATCCGACAAAATGCTTTAGGGGGATCCAAAAATGTGTTGAAAATTATTCCAAATTGCAGATGTGTTTTTTTGCATCTCAAAATGATTTGGTTGCGTTTCTTTATTTATTTATTTTTTCCCCCATTAATCATCAGCCTGCATGAGATTTTGGTGTGAACTGCATTTTATATGCCCTAAAAACCAAGGTTTGATGCCGATTCGGAATGAAGATGAGAGGCAGACAAAACTGTGTTTTCTCAAACACCTTGGGCTACCGCACACGACTGAGAACGTCGTGTTCTTGAGCGACGTCCACGAGAAAAAAAATTCAAATGTGACGTTTAGTTTGGACATTTTTTGAAGTTTATTATATGAATGACAAAAGTGGCGCCCAACGTTGCTATACAACTTTGGTACACCGGGCTAGCTTAGTTAGTAACTCGCGAGAATGTGGGTTCATTTACTTGTGTAAAATAAAAAGTAGACAAATTAAGCGCCTGAAATCCGTTACACATTTAAAAATATGACATATTATGGCGCCCAACGCAGCTTAGTCCAAAGCACATAAGACAAATACAGATATGTTTTTTTTTTTTGTATCTCAAAAAGGTGTTGTTGCGTTTCTTTATTTGATTTTTTTTCAATTTCTCTTAAACGTAAATTTTCTTTACATATTATTCCAAAATATTTTTTTTTTCGTACAAATACAATTATTGTACTTGTTTTCCATTTGGCTTTTCTTGTAAAAAATAAGAAAAAAAACTTAGAATCTAAACAGATATTTTTTCTGAGGGATGGAGTTGAGTTCAAAGTATTTGAATATTTTTTTGATTTTAAGTTTCAATTGTTTTGAATAGACAGATATTTTGATATGATGCTGTTGTTAAGAAGAAAAAACTGTTTTGATTTTGTAATTAAAATACTAACTTAAATATATTAAGAAAAGGAAGAAGAAGAAGACAAAAATGTGGTGTTGCAAAAAAGAACAAGTTGTTCGTTACAAAAAAATATATATTAAATATAGATTGTGTCTTGAATAATGACATTAAAATGAAAGGAGGGATGAAATTTAGGCACATGTTTTTTTTTTTTGGTTTAAATAAATCATAACCTCCTAAAATGATAATTTAAGTTACTGTCGTAATTCCCGCAACTTGAACACCCACATGACAAGATTCAAGAATGACAAGAGTGACTTTGTTAACTAAATAATGACTAGAATTTTTTTAAAATTAAAAAAATGTAACATAAAATAAAATCATATTATCATAGGTCTCTTTGTTTGTTGTTGTGTGTTGCATTTCGTTTTCGTTTGTTTTCCAAAAAAATATTGTTATTTTTTCCGCTGCGGTTTTTCTTATTGTATCGTTATCGTATTCTCTTCTGCTCGTCTAGCGTCTCTTTGCGCGTTAATTTTATTATCGTCATAATAAGTCTTTTAATTGCTCTTTTTGGCATCTTTGCCCTCGACCTCCTTAGCCTGGCCACGTCCCAAAATCTTGGCCAAACTATCCCAAATGCCACCAAAGAAAATGGCACAGCACAAGTTTTCGAACGGCAAGAAGGGATCGTGAATGCCCAACAAAATCGACGACAACTTAAAGTAGACCAAGAAAATTACAATGCCGAAATAGACGAGAGCATGTGGTGCGGAAATCCAATCGGTTTTCTTGTCCAACACAAAGATAATGGAAGCCAAGAGGGAAGCTTTGGTGTAGCTGGAAAGAAGGAGAAAAAAAAAAACAAATAAATTAAGGGAATATTAACGATAACAAAAAATGGCGCCCAACGTAAGCCCACATATCTTAAATATAAAGAAATCCAATTTTATGGGATGAGGAAATAAATCACATTACCCATTTTGAGGATATTAAAGCAACAGATAAATATGGCGCCCAACGTATAGTCACATATCTGGGAAATCTCAATTTCATGAGAAAAATGTTTGATGACACCGTATCAGTTGGACGTTGGTTCACTAATTTTGAATACAGATACAGCCCTTGGAGTGTTTGATAGACAAAATCCATTCGTATTCTCGAAAATTGTTTAAATATGCGATAATATGGCGCCCAATTGCACTCCGTCCAGTGTACGTGAGACAGAGGCACAACTGGGGAATAGAAAAACTAAAATTATGAAAAATTTGGAAAAATATACACACTAGACATGTTCTGTATGTCACGCTGTATCAGTTGGACGTTGGTTCACTAATTTTGAATGCAGATAAACCAGAGCCCTTGGAGTGTTTGAGAGAAAAATTCTCCTATGTGATCTATGTGTGAATTTCGCCTTCGAATGAACCATGAACTGTACCATCTATTCTCGGGCATCGCCAAAATCAGACATATCTTTGGCTAGGTCATGTTGTCTTCTTCGCAGAAGACTGACTTATCTGGAATTCTTTTTTCTGCTTGGCTTATGGAATAAATGTTCTGTCACAAGCCAGCTAAGTACATAAGTAAGTAACATGGCACCCAACGTATTAGTTCACGATTCTACGGAACATATTAAATTGCCACAGCTAATAGTTCTAAGACAGCAGATTTATTACTCAATACTTTAGAGAGACTAGCAAATGTATTTAATTATTTTCCAGTTATTCTAACCCTATCGATCTCCCAGTCAGGGAATTTGCAATGATGTTGATCAAGTTATCTAAAGCTAACTCTTTGACAAATTTATTACATATCCCTTCTTGATGATCGGCTAGCGTGAGTTTTGTGTGAGCTTCGCACAAGACCGACGTGTCCTTATGGAATAAATGTTCTGTCACAAGCCAGCTGAGTAAATGTGTAAGTAATATGGCGCCCAATGTTAGTTCACGATTCTACGGAACATATTAAATTCCCACTGCTAATAGTTCTAAAACAGCGGATTTATTTCTCAATACTTTAGAGAGAGTCTAGCAAATTTATTTAATTATTTTTCTGTCATTCTAACCCTATCGAACTCCCAGTCAGGGAATTGTGTTATTGATGTTGATCAGGCTATCTGAAGCTAACTCCTTGACAATTTTTTTATTTTTCGTGAGTTTTTTGTGTGAAATGAATTTTTCAAGCCCTAAAAACCAAGTTTGGTTGCAGATACGGAAGAATACTGGTGATTGTGGAATGACCAATTTCAAATGATGATGAGAGGCAGACAAAGCTGGGCTACCGCAGCAATATTCTCAGTGGTGTTCTTGAGCTACCGTCCACGGGACGCTTAATTTGGAAATTAATTGTAATTTATTATATAAATGACAAAAATGGCGCCCAACATTGCTATACAACTTTGGTACAACGGGCTAGCTTAGTTTGTCACTCGGGAGAATTTGAGTTCATTCACTCATATAAAAAGAAACTAGACAAGTTAAGATATTATGGCGCCCAACGCAACATAGTTCAAAGTACATAAAACAGAGGCAAACTGGAGATGAGGATAACTAAAAGAATAACAAATTTTGAGTACATATACACCACAGAGATATGTATGCACCGTATCTGAAGAAAATGGCGCCCAACGTGGTGAGTTTATAATTTTGCGTATAAATAAATTAGGAAAGATGATTGTTTGAAAAAAATTTAAATATGAGATAATATGGCGCCCAATGGCACTTCGCCCGGTGTACATGAGAAAGAGGAAAATTAAAATTATGGCGAATTGGGAATAAAAATATGCATTAAGCAAGCTCTGTCCGTCACTCACAGTCGTGTAGGTAAAGCCGTCACTTGGGAGATAATGGCGTCCAATCTGGGTCCATAGCGTCGTGTAAAAATATATCAAGGTATCCCTTAAACTGGTACAATTTGAGTTGAAGATATATTTTTAACCATGAGATAATATAAAAAGTTTTGCTATGCAAAACTTCGTGGGTTATGACAAATTTCAAAGGACATGGAATAACTTAAGCAATACAACAAGACCCAAGGCATATTTACAAATAAAAAATATTCAAGTTTGTTAAGTAAAATGGCGCCCAACATGTTTGCATACATTTTATATAAACATTTCATAAGCTAGTTTCATCAGATCCTTATTGGTTCAAAGCCGGTTGGCTAGCAGATACAGTAGCTCAGTCCGTCTCTTGACAGAATATGGTGCCCAATGTGGATTCATACCCTCGAGTAAAAATAAACTTGGGCTAGTCTCTTAAATAGACGCAACACAAATAGAATAAAAATCTCAATGATTGTGACAAATTAAAAGGAAAAATATAATATGGCGCCCAACGACGCTTAGTCCAGTGTACATTAGACAATGGCAAAACGGGAGCTGAGAAGTGCTCAAATAATGGCGAATTTTGATTACAGAAAAATCAGGGACGCTCAGTTCGCCACTAGCGAAAAAAATTGCACCCAAATTTGGGTTCATACCCGGAGAACTTCAGTCCCTTAATCAACTCGATATTATTGCGCCCAACGACGCGAGAAAAACAAATATGAAAGTAAAGCTAACCCAAATTTCATAGGACAAATTTACACAATGAAATGGCGCCCAAATGCATGGAATGCCATCGCAAAGTCATATTGACAGATATGGCATATTCCCACCTCTGTGGCTAAGCCGAGAATGAAAATGTTACTTTCGAGAAACCTCACTATCCTCATCTTTTGACATTTTTGGAGCGATTTATAGTGCGCCGGGTCACTCTAAAAAAAATGGCGCCAATTGAGAGCTTATATCCTTGTTAAAAAACAAATCGGAGAACTCCAGCACATTATTCAACTTGATGAAATGGCGTCCAACAGCACTAGCTTAGACTTCTAAGCACACATAGAGAAAAATAAACAATTTAAATTAAAGCTAACTCCATCTACAATGACGCCTTGACGCTCTATTCTCATTGTTTGACTTTGATGAAGTAGCAACCAAGGTGGAAAAAGGCCTGACTAATCGAAATGATTTTTCGCTGGAGTTTCGAATCGTTTTCATTTCAAGGGTTTATCAGACCAAGGTTCTGGGAGTTATGATACATTTTAAATATGCTATAATTATAATATGGCGCCCAACGTTAGCTCACCATTTTGTGTTGAAATGACTAATAGACTAGCTTAGATCACAGTGTGACGTATTGAAGTTATGTCAAATTTTAAAGGATATGGGAATTTGTTCCTTCGGGTAGCAGAGCTGAATGCTAACGGACGCGTCCACAGGTTGCGGAAAGTGGAAGCCCAATACTTTTCATTGGGTAGCTGTGAATAACAAATAAACAGTCGCGGACAATCAGCGGGCGAAGGGGGGAGAGTCTCGGAGGAAATGACCGAGTGCCTATGATCCCTCAGCTGATGAGGCGAGAATGGCACCCCTAAATAACCATCTCAAAGGTTTGGGTGACTACCTCCCAAAGTGAACCCCCTAACGTTGGGGTGTCATGCCCATCGTGCCCATCAGCGTTCTATGGTTTGCAGTCAGGGTCCTGACTGTATAAAACGGAGCCTTGCTGATACCTGGGCGCCTCAACAAGATTATTCAAGCTTAGCTGTCAAGTCCTTGCCATGGTTGACCACAATCCCTCACAAACAGCACATTCTATGGTGCCGAATTTAAAGTTAGCGATTGAACCGTATTCACACTGATGCAGTTGAGGAAGCAATTCGAGAATATCGTGAGAATACAATCCTTGGTGACACCCGCCAAAATAGCTGCAGCTGCTGCTACCTCGACAAACCAAAGTGGTCTTGGCACAATTGGGATCAGGATGGTGTAGCCGCCTCAATTCATATTGGATACGAATTGACGGCCCCGTCAATAATATCTGACCGGCATGTGATAATGGTCCACATGGCACGCTACATCTTTTCAACTACCCAACCAAACCCACTCATGTAACCCAACTTTAGACACAACCGATACAGATCGCAGCCTTTTTGAATTTGGAGTTAGAAGCAGAACGAGATTAAGAAGAAATACACCACATATTGACAGATTCTAAATAGATAGGAGTTTGGTAGGGAAAATGGTGGTGAAAAGGCGCCCAACGTTAGTGCACACTTTTTGTATAAACATATAACAAGTAGTTCAGTCCGATTATAAATATATTGAATAATGTAAAGTTCCTTCAAATATGGCGCCAAACGTTTGCCCTTTTTTGAGTAGCTTAGTCCAAAAAATATTAAAGTTTGGCGCCCAACGTTTATGAACACTTTTTGTGTGCAATTATATTTGCAAATTAAATTTTGCAAACAACGTTGTGTATGTGCAATAATTGAAAATACCTTTAAATTTGGCGCCCAACGTTGGGTCATACATCACATGCTAAGCCAAACTTTGCCAATAATGGCGACATAAACAAACCTATGCTAAATTTTAAAGACTTTGACATATTAATACGGGATAGCAATATGGCGCCCAACATTAGTTCACCACTCTTGTCAAGAATTAACTGGGCTTACTTAGTCTGATACTCCTGCAACTTTCTATGTCAAAACATTAACCTTCCACAATTTTCCAAATAAAATTACTCACAATGATGGTTGCATAAATTCCATGGCCGTGGGAGTCCAAGCACCGCGAATCAGACGTTCCAACAATTTGGTAAATCCGGCACCATTACCCTTCAATGTACCAATGATAATCATGATGATCCAGGCATTCGGATACAATTTGGCAGCATGGGTAACACCGTCGTACACTTTCTTGGCACGATAGATTTCCTTCATGGCACTGGCCACAACCTTAATCGGTAGGAATTTGCCAATTTTATAACCAATATCGAAGGGAGTATAGAAGACCATGTACCTGGGAAAACGATAAGGATCAGAATCTTGAAAAAATAAGCAATTCTGCACCACTTACCAAACAGCTGTTCCGACCAATAGCTGTGGTGTATTTTTCAGTGGCGATAATATGGGTTCGCCCAATAATGCATTGGCCACCATAGCACCAGAGAATATCACCAACATTGTCGACAGCCAACAGGCCAGAGGATGTTTACGCGAAAATGCCTGAGCATTTGCACCCAAATCTTCGCGTACTGCCAGTGCGGCTAACAGACTGTGCGCAATATCGAAGTAAGGAAACATTTTCAATTTAATGACCTGATTGGCCATATCCAAAAAGGCTTCGGGATCCATGTTGTTTGGTTTAGTTGTGCGTGTTCGTTATACTCCTAAGTGTGCGTTCGTTAGCTGCTGCTAAAATAGAAATACGAAAGAGAGAAGAAAAAACAAATTAGTTTAAAATAGGTTTTTAAAATGTTTTTTTCTTTGGCATTTGTGTAGTTCCCTTTTTTGTTTTGTTGGCATAGCGCCTAATATTCGAAACATAAAAAAAACATCTGTACAAACTCATGTAATTGAAACGGAAGGGAATATTATTGTTTATAGTTTGCTGTTGAAGTGTTGAAATGAAATAAAAAATAAGTAAATATTATATATAGACTTCTTCCGAATTTTGCCACAGCGGGCAGCTGAGTTAATATCAGCTTTAATGGAGAGAAATGGGGAGAGAAACGATAAACTACCAACTGCAGAGGAAAGAAGACAACCAAACACCATCATTGTCAAATTATCGAAAAGTGACAAACGCTTCCGAAATATGGGTCGTCAACGTCCGTCAAAGTATATAAAAAATCGAGATTTGCGAAGTTTTTTGAATATTGAAATTTGTTGAAAACGTGAGCAAATGGCGCCCAACATCAGTGCACACATTGAAAAATTCAAATAGGCTGATAATATGGCGCCCAACGTTAGTGCATATCCATACGTCAGCCTGTTTGTCAGTATATTAGACAATGTTAACAATTTCTTCAAATATGGCGCCCAACGTTAGCTCAAAACAATTTATGTTGAAATAATCTAGCTTAGATTAGTCCACTGTATAAAGATTTTAAAATTTTTTAAGTATATAAAGGACTTGATCAAATGGCGCCCAATGCTTTAGTATGTCATATATACAATCGCCAATGCACTGACTACAATAAAATTACCTTCAAATATGGAGAACCCATTTTGGTCTACATTTTTGATGGTATGATAGTCCACATCTTTTGTACAACCATACGTGAATCTAGTTCGATCTAATCGCTAGCATATTAAACAATGTAAGAATAAAATTTTTATAATATTTAAGTTTTTTTCAGGGATATACCAAGCTAACTCAGTCCGATCATTGACTATTGTACCTTCAAATATGGAGACAAAAGTGGATACACCCATCAGAAATCGGAATAAACCGTGCCGTAATTGCCGACATTGAAAGATTAAAACGGTGTGATAATATAGCGCCCAACATTAATGTACATATTTTGTATAACCATATGCCAGCCAAGCTAGTTCATTCTGATCGTTAGAATTTTCAATAATATAAAATGAATAAAAAAATGTAAAATCACTTCAAATGTGGCGCCCAATGTCAGCTTAAAAATATATGTGTGTTGAAATTATCTTAGATAAGTCTACCGTACAACATTTGTAAAATATTCAAATTTGTTAAGGAATTGATTAAATGGCGCCCAACAGTAGTGCAACTCTTTTTGTATAAACATATACCTAGCTAGCTCAGTCCGATCGCTAATATATTTTGGTCTTAATGAAGATCAAATTTGGTTCATCCATCTGAACCAATTGGAAAGGTTCAGATGGGCAACACCTTATTCTACCAAATTTTTCACAGAATTAGCTGTAAGTTTGACCACCTTATTTTACCAAAATTTTCACAGAATAGCTTCAGCCGTTTAGTCTGGACGTTGGTGAATCATTAAATCAGTCAGTCAGTCAATCACTTTACTCTCTTATTAGTATAGATTTTAGGTTATTGTCGGATACAAAATCTTCCTATCGAAAATAATCAATATTGACGATCTTTAGGTATAGGTCCAATAAAACGGAACCACCGAATATTAAGTATTTTGACTGATTTTTTTGATTACCAAAAGAGCTGTAATTCAATAATTTTAATTATCCTACTGTAGAAAAACACTCTACTAAAAATTAACAATATTGGCCCACCTTTAGCTATAGACCCCATATACCGATATTCCGCAATTTTAAGATATTTTGAGTATTTTAAAAATATTTTCCATCTGTAATTTGATATTATTTGTATTCTCATAATAAACGTAATTTTGACCACGTTTACGTTGCACACATTTTCTGGAATTTTGAAGATTTCCGACACGTCATTCAAAAGGAATATGGTCTACTTTGAATTAAATAAAAAAATTGCAATATCGGTCCATCTTTGGGTTTTCTTCTTGGGAGGACAGTGCTTCCACAAAGCATCGCCATATTACTCCAGCAAAGTAGATGATCGGTCTGCTGCTAGGCGATGGCGGGTTGCTTTCTATCGTTGCGTAAAAACAACGTCTATTAAGGCCTAAACAGAATATTCGCGTTGAGCGTTTTTTGTTATCGCGTTAACGCACGCAAAAAGTTAAAATATATTTAACTCCGAAGCGCAGTGCACATCAACTTCGAGCGTTTGTGTTATCGTTTCCTTGTGGTTGTTGTATTTTCGATAACACATAACGTAACGGATGGCTCAATGCGAGCATTCTGCTTAGCCCTTTAGAATGTTGTCCAGTGGTTGGGGTCCTTGCTTACACACTGTTGCAATTCTTCTCTGGTAGGCGCTATGTCCACTTATTCCTATTTGGTGTTATCCTAATTTCTTGATGTCAAGGTATCACCTATTTATTTAAAAATATCTATACAACAACGGTTAGTATCAGCGTCTTGTAGCACCACTATCATTCTCCGAATTTCAAAACTGTTGCCATTAGTTTTATTCATGGCGGTACCAAGGTATATAAAATCTTTGACGAAGCAGTAGTTTTCAAGTTCCAAGAGACGTCTTGCGCGTCGATATCATCAGCTTGATATTATCGGCATTTACTGTCAGACCCATTTTCTGTTCACCTTTGTCTACGAGACGTCTTGCGCGTCGATACCATCAGCTTGGTATTATCGTCATTTAGACCCATTTTGCAGACTGCTTCTCTATTTGTTCAAAGTTAGCTGTTACCGCTCGCAATGTTTGACACATAGTGACGATGTTATCATCGTAGGCGAGTAACATGTGTTGTTTGGAGCGCAGAGTGCCATTTCTGTTCACCTTTGTCTCTCGTATGATCTTTTCCAGTAGGATGTTTAAAAGAGCACACGGCGAACTGTCACCTTGTCTGATTCCTCGTTCGGTCTTAAAGGACTCCGAGAAGATCTTTCCGATTTTAACTACTGCTCTTGTGTCACTTAAAGGCATCCTGCATAGCCGTATTAATTATACCCTACACAACTATGTTGTCAGGGTATTATAGCTTTGTGCAGCCCCAAAAGTTTGTAACGCCGCGAAATATTGGTCCTAGACCCACCTTTAAGTATACCGATCGTCATATCTCGACTAGCTGAGTCGATCTAGACATGTGTGTCCGTCCGTCCGTCTGTCCATTATAATTTGTAAACACGATACAGGCCACAGTTATGGACCAATCTTCACGAAATTTTGCATGTAGGATGGGTTATGGCCAATGAAGACCCCTATTGTTTTTGGAAAAGATCGGTTAATATTTAGGGCATGAAATGGACCAAAAACTTTATTTTTGTCGGTTTTTCTGGTCGCTCCAGAGGCCGCAATAATGACCCGAACATCGTGAAATTTTGCATGGAGAAAGGGATCGGGCCAAAGAATAAGCATGCCCGTTTGCATAAAGATCTGTCAATATTTAGCGGGTCAAATGAACCCTGACTTTTGTGTGAAAAATTATAAAATTTGTATTCTATAGCGTATATAGTTAGCCCTGAAGGACATAGACCCGAGAAGTTGATATTATATCCAAGAGGAGTGGTTGACCTTTAAATTAATACCAATTATATTGTTGTATGTGCTCGGATGTGGGAGTTACACCTAAATATTTAAAGGTATCTCCGTATTCGTATATTATTTAGTAACCCATTATCACTCTAGAGAGCGGAACTATAGCACTGATCGCTTTGAAATGTTCCATGAGGTTCCAGTTATGGTCAAGGACAAGGCCTATAATTTTCAGTGATGATCAGATAATAATTTTGTAATGAAGTGGACCGAAAACTTTATTTTTTGTGTTATTTTCGAGTCGATCTATAGATCACAAATGAAAGCCGAACATCACAACACAACCCACGGTGAAAGGAATCTGGACAATAGCTGTACTGAATACTCGTAATATTCGGAAATATGTCAGTGTAAGGAAGAGGTGTTGTTTACCTCTAATCGGGCAAGAGCGTGCAAATATCACGAAATATTGCCCAGGCTCGGAATAAACATCCGCAGAAAGTTTGATATCCGTGGTAGTTGTGTAGGGTATCGTATGGTCGTCCCCGTCCGACTATACTGCTCCGCTCACTGGTTTTCAAATGCCTCTGAGCGGATTGGGCTTTCGAATGCGGCTTTATAGATGATGAATAGGTGGAATGCGTCGATGTGTTTTTCGTGGGTCTTTTCTAGGACTGACGGAAAGTGAAAATTTGATCAATGGATTGGTCAGGCCTGAAGCCGCATTGGTATAGTCCAATAATGTCTTTGACCATTGCCTTCAGTCGTTCGCACTGTACGCTGGATAGTACTATATATGCGATGGCAAAGGATACTTATTCCTCTCATTGGGCATTCATTCCTCTAGCCAATCATTGGGCATTCATTCCTCTAGCCAAATTGTACTAATCAGCTGGTGCATGCTCCTGACCAACATCTGACCACCAGTTTTGAATAGTTCAGCTTGCAACCTATCAGCACCTGCTGCTTTATTATTCTTCAGTCGATTAAATGCCACTCTGACCTCATTTTGTATGGTATACAATCCATTTTGTTGGTATACAATCCATACCGTCATCTCTTATGGGTTCTGGGGTATCTATCGTTGCCTAAAAACAAAGACGTATCCAAAATACCGGATTAAATGCCACTCTGACCTCATTTTGTATGGTAAACAATCCATTTTTTTGGTATACAATCCATACCGTCATCTCTTATTGGTTCTGGGGTATCTATCGTTGCCTAAAAACAAAGACGTATCCAAAATACCGAAAATGGGGTCGACAATTTTGGCAGACTGAGATATTGCATTGTGAACAATTTTCCACATTAGTTGTAAATTTTTAAATACTTGA